GCAGTCGCCTGGCCCAGGTGTTTGACCTCACCGTCGGGTCAGAGGTCAAGTTCCGGGTCAGGGCCGAGAACTCGTACGGCGTCGGCCCACCTGGACCAGACAGCGTTGTCTGCACCGTCCCGGAGCCAACAGAAGGGTGAGTCTCTGAGGCCTGAGCAACAGTAAACGGTGAGCTTACAATGAGCTTACACCGTCCTGGAGCCGACAGAAGAGCGAGCTATCAGTGAGCTACCATCCTCCCCGACCCAATGGAAGAGTGAGCTATCACTGGACCATGACCGTCCCAGAGCCGACGGAAGAGTGAGCTAACATCGTTCCCGAGCTTCGCAACAGCGGGATATCACTGTAGCAAAGCCCTATGATGTTTTTCATTTTAAAGATAAAGAAAACCACACATCAAAGGAAAAACATAAGAAAATATCACAGTTATAATTTCAGGAACTTTCTTCCTAAGCCTCTGAGGCTATTTGCTTGTAATTATGTGGCAGCGCATTTCATTTTGTGATTTGACCCATAACTAAGAAGTTTTAGATATCCCAGATTGTGCAATGAAAACACATCACCTTTCACTTAACCCGCGCGGGGCTGGGGGGGGGGGGTAAATTTTACCCCCCTCGCGAATTTTTGCGATATCTCAAAAACGGCGGCGCGCAGCGCCGCCAAACTTTCAGTACCTTTTCTTACATCAATTTGACACGTTTCACAAACTTTTTTCAGTACCTTTTCTTACATCAATTTGACACGTTCCCTGAAAATTTGAGCGAAATCCGTCGGAAAATTTTTGAGAAATTGACGTTTTAGTGACGTCATGTTCGCCATTTTCGCCTCAAAAACGGCAAAAGTTCAAACGCCGCTAACATCTTCATTTTTAAAGGAATCAAGACGTAACAAAAAAAGGATATACGTAATTCTACTTTGTCTATCAAATGGCTATCTCGGTTTTTCGAAATTTTGGATTTTGGCCCAATTTGTTTTCTTCAAAAAACTGACTTTTTTGGGAAAATAGCTATAAAATCCAAAATTTTGAGTGTACCGAAAAAACCGGAATATATGTCAGAGAATTGGTCTATGTGCACCTACACACCATGTTTTAGAAGAATCGGTTCAAAAATGTGGGAGTTATTCAAAATTGTATGACGTCACGACACACAAAAGTTTTGAAAAATGACTTTTTTGGAAGTTCTAGACCTCGTACGGAAACAAAAATAGCACCATTCGATTCGCCGTGAAAACTGCATCAGATAGACACCTTTTTAGGCCTTAACAACCAACTTCAAAATTTGACCTCACTTGACCTGACCTTGACCTGACCTCGGCCTGAAATTCATCCAGAGGTGATCCATATCACTTATTGAGTGTGCCTATTGAATTCTATGAGTAAAATGACCCATAAAACATGTGTCGCACATGCCCTTTTCTATATTTTGTTTTTGGTGACCTGACCTGACCTGACCTGACCTTGACCTTGACCTCTGAATGATATTGTATGCAACGAATATTGTCCTGGTAGCCTAAGAACACGTTTTGGGCGATCAGTCTCAGTCCATGATTCCATTCTTCGGCAACTACGGTGCAAGGCCCATACTGTAGGAACTTGCAATTTGTACCCTTGACCTGACCTTGACCTTGACCTCAAACTTAAAATTAAGTACATGTTTTTAGTTGTTCGTGATGAGATCTTTCGATTGGCGTTTGAATTTTCCAAATCGGACCATTAGTTCGGGAGATAACAGGGGGGGGGGGTAAAATTTACCCCCCCCCCAGCCCCGCGCGTTCGGCTGGAGACCCCAGCCCCGCGCGGGTTAACGACTATGTACTGCTGGCTACTGCAATTTATTGTAATTGACTGTAGCTGACAATAGCCTTGTTCCGTCTCAGGGAGGACGACTTTCTGCTGGACCAGCTGAGTGTGAGCAGCCGGGCGGCCAGTGAACTCAGTCTCAGCAGGGAGGAGGTGCTGCCCAGTCCCAAACGGCCGCGCTCCGACCAGATCGGTAAGGGGCCGGAACGCAGACAACAGAGGGACACGGTCCGGAACTATATTACAGACAACAGAGGGACACGGACCGGAACACAGACAACAGAGGGACACGGACCGGAACTACAGACAACAGAGGGACACGGACCGGAACTACAGACAACAGAGGGACACGGACCGGAACTACAGACAACAGAGGGACACGGACCGGAACACAGACAACAGAGGGACACGGACCGGAACACAGACAACAGAGGGACACGGACCGGAACTAAAACAACTGACAACATTGAGGGAACACGGACTGGAATTGCAGACAACGAACCGGAACTACAGACAGTGGACAACAGGAGCACAAGGGTCGGTACCACAGACAACAACAACAACAACAACAGCACAACAACAACAACAACAACAGCACAACAACAACAACACGGACCAGAACTACAGTCAACAGGGGGACACGGACCAGAACCACAGACAGCAGCTAACATTGAGGGTACCTGGACCGGAGCTAGGCACAAATGAACCGACTGGAATGAAACTAGGGACAGATGAAGGTATTTACATGGAATGAAAATGTTCAGACGGAAGGATATCAATCAGTCTTATCAACAGGAATAAATCACCGGCTGTCGCTAGTTTTGTCTCTAGGCTTCCAGCAACCAAACACCCTAAAAGATAACCGTTAATGTGAAGATATATAAGCTATACCGGCTGGTATTACTTTTCACATCAGCAGTCGTTTTCGCATTGAAGTCGAAATTCCGGGATGACTTGAGACAATATTTTGAAATATGTGGTGTTTGTTGTCCACCCGAAATGGGCCTCCCAGCTGATGCAATTCAATGCGAACAGATGCTGCAACTATCAACCTGTCCTCTGTGTGTCACAGACTCGGCGGTGCTGCCTCCGAGAGGGCCGGCACCGGGCGCGGTGCCGGCCGACGGCCCGGTCCGGCCGGCCGTGACCTCTGACCCCGGCCAGGGTCACCGCGCCCGGCCCCGGTCACCGTCAGCTGGCCGCGGTGGGGCGGACCGGCCGCGCGGCGTCAGCCCGTTCTACAGGGAGGACAGTCAACAGAGTGAGTTACCGGACCGGCGTCATCCGGACCCGAACACTGTGAACGCCGCCACAACCGAGAGGGGTATGTCGAAATCTGAATTCGATTGGGTGGCTGGGACGTGCACTGCGTACTCCTAGGCCGTCTAACACGAGACGTAAAGCTTGCAGAAGAGGTAGGCATCTGTTAGTAAAGAATGCCCGCTCGGGCGCGGTGCCTAGGTGTAGGGACATACCCCTTATTGCCTCGCTGCAAATGGCGCAGTTGAGCCGGTCGGGCGTTTACATCCCATGTGAGGCCCCGTGAGGGGGATGTGCACAGTTGGACAGGACGGACGGCCCCCTCCCATCAGCCGACAGCGCTCCGGGGCCTCCCAGAGCCATCCATATCCCCCGTCCCCGTCCCCCTCCCACCGCGGTCCGGGCTGCGAGACAGACCTGCCGCCGCGGGGGACTTGGCATCTGCCGTCCGTCCCGGGCGTCACGTGACCCGATCTCGGCGCCAGCAGCAGTGGGTCACGGGGGGGGGGGTCATATCCGATTGTCACTTGAGGTCACGGGTCATAGAGAATATACCTATTACCTATGTCCAAGCAAATAGATAACAACATGTTTACGGAATGTTTCTTGACAGTTGGGGCATTCCACGATAGATCGTACCACTTTTTTCCAATTTGACACCCTCATCTCTCGGAATTTGACGAGAATTGGTCACAGGGGTAATCAGGGGCTCTGAATCCACCTGTAACAATTTCAGGCTTATCAGATAAGTATTTTTTGAGTTATGGTGTATAACATTTTTTGGATCTTGCTTTGCAGCGCTAAGTTTGGCGGGCTGTAACTCTAAGACGGATTATTCAAATGCCAAATGTTATATAACATTGAACTTGCAATGAAACAGAGATTAATATGTATTTTTGAAATTTCGAAAAATACGCTATTTTTGATATATGACATATCGAGTTTTCTTTCATTTGTATTTTTTTGACTTTGGGACCAAATTTTTTTTGAATTTTTATTTCTTTAAAAAAATATTTGGCTCATTGTTAAGAAGTATGCAAAAAATTAGGAAAGTGTTCTTTCTATAAATGTATTTATTTTACGTCACGATAACGGTTTCGAATAGTGATTTCGGGAGGGGAGCTTACAAATGGCGTGGTAAAGCTGCCTAGTGACATCACGGGTTACTGAAATTTCAATTCAAGTCTGAGTCATCTGAAAAAAAAGTGAAAAGAGGGTTCATTCAACCCTCTTTCCTATAAGCACGAGGGTGAAAAAGGCTGTTTGGTTCTGACATTGTTTTGGACGCCAATGACCATAGCTGTCCGAGATGAAAGTTACAGGACGCATACATGGTGTCCTTCAGAGGTCTCACAACTTGTATATCTGGGAATTTTTCAAGGTAACATGAGGTCAGGTCGGTCACGTGACATCACTGTTATAAATCAATGGGGAAATATAAAAACTGTTATTTTGGCGCCAAGAATGATCTAAAACTATCCCACGTACATGGTATCGTGATTTCATGCACTCCTTGCAAAGTCCAATGCTTTACTTTTGCATTTTTAACCTTGCGTGACGTCATTTATTACGTCACTAGAGTCGTACGAGTTTTTCGTCAATAACTCCCGATCAAATGGAGCTAGAGAGTCGGGAAAGCCACCAATGGACTCGGGATGACCTTCCGAATCGAATGCTATGCCATATGATACCCTTTGCCCAGCTTCGTGACCTGAGGGGCTCTGACCTGACCTTGACCCGAGGTCAACTACTTAAGTTGACCTCACCCTAGCAAAAAGTATACCATTCGATGCACCTGATCTAGGCGAACGCAATGATGCCAAAATCGCGGCTCTGCGGCCATTTTTTGCGAAGTTATTTACTAAAAACCGAACCTTAACTTCAGTCACGTGACCTGACCTCAGACGCTACCGGTTAACCTGAGACCTTAAAATCGGGTACCAATTGCTGCGACTTGTAACGGCACACACGCTCATTTTTTCCGCGAGGCTCTAGGTCTATCAGAAGCGAAACGGCGTGCTGGGGTCGTATCAACCCCTCCGAAACCCATTTTGTTTGCGGGAAAACGAGGAACTTATAGAAAGAACACCTTTCTAATTTTTTGCATGTCGATTTGCAATGACATGAAGATTATTTTGAAAAAATAAAAATGTGAAAAATTTTGGTCCCAAAAGTCATTAGAGGCAAATGAAAAAAGATTAAGGTTTTTGCTCAACAATGAAATTTTTTCTTTGGAATTTTTAAATAGTAATATTAATTTTTGATTCATCGCAAGCTTAGTGTTGTTTACTTTTTGTTGGTTGCTTAACCCGTTCTTGAGTTATAGGCCATCAAACTCACCGTTACATACCGAAGTTAAAAAAATGTAATGCAATATAACTCAAAAAGTTTTGATCTGAGAAGTCTGATGTTTTGCCAGGCGTCTTTGGGGTAGAGTTCTGCACGGCTGCAATTTTCCACAGCCTAGCCGCCCCGCAGCCGTGGCTCCACAGCCACAGCCGCCCACAGCCGTGGCAAACTGTGGGCAGCCAGCCGTCAGCCGTGGCAAACTGTGGGCAGCCAGCCGTCAGCCGGCCGTGGATACTTTCAATGAAATGCAACCAAATAGTATATAATAAGTTGTTTTTAGTTGAAACATATAGGTAGCCAAAAGCACATTGCAATGGGCTATAGATTCTCAAGCTCATGAAGCATCATAGGTTAAGTGGTTGTGTATCTGGCTTTAGGCCGAAGGCCTGAAGCCTGATGCGCAACGCATGCCTACACAAGCCCTTGCAAGGGGTTAAGAAACAGGGGCGGATCCAAGGGGGGGGTCACATGGGTCATGGCCCCCCTTGAGGCCCGGGGGCCCAAAGACCTGCCAGGGGCACCACCGGCCTATCAGGGGTATCACAGTCCTGACAGGGGCACCACAGGACCGCCAGGGGCACCACAGGCCTAGCAGGGACACCACGGGCCTGGTGCCCCTGGGCCCTGACAGGACTGTAACGCCCCTGACAAGCCTGAAGTGTCCCCGGCAGGCACGTGGTGCCCCTGACAGGCCTGAGGCGCCCCTGCAAGGCCGGTGGTGCCCCTGGCAGGCCTGTGGTGTCCATGGCAGGCCTGTGGTGCCCTTGCTAGGCCTCTGGTGCCCCTGACAGGCTTGTAATGCCCCTGGAAGGACTGTGGTGCCCCTGGGCCCTGACAAGCTTAAGGTGCCCCTGACAGGCCAGTGGTGCCCTTGCTAGGCCTGTGGTGCCCCTGGCAGGCCTGTGGTGCCCCTGACAGGCTTGCGGTGCCCTTGGAAGGACTGTGGTGTCCCTGGGCCCTGACAAGCCTGAGGTGCCCCTGACAGGCCCGTGGTGCCCTTGTTAGGCCTGTGGTGCCCTTGCTAGGCCGCTGGTGCCCCTGGCAGGCCTCTGGTGCCCTTGCTAGGCCGCTGGTACCCCTGCGCCCGGAGAGGACTGGTGCCCCTGAAAAGTCTGAAGTGCCTCTCGACAGGCCCGTGGTGCCCCTGGGCCCTGACAGGCCCAAGTTACCCCTGCGAGGTCGGTGGTGCTCCTGGCAGGCCTCTGGTGCCCCTGACAGGTCTGTGGTGCCCCTGGCAGGTCTGTGGTGCCCCTGACAGGCCCAAGGTGCCCCTGGCAGACCTCTGGTGCCCCCGGCAGGTCTGTGGTGCCCCTGGCAGGTCTGTGGCGCCCCTGGCAGACCTGTGTTGACTGGTGCCCCTGCTAGGTCGCTGGTGCCCCTCACAGACCTGTGGTGCCCCTGGGCCTTGACAAGCCTGAGATGCCTGGCTATGACAGGCTCGTGGTGTCCCTGATAGACCAGTGGTGCCCTTGCTAGGCCTGTAGTGCCCCTGGCAGGCCTCTGGTGCCCCTGCTACCCCTGCGCCCGGAGGGGACTATGGTGCCCCTGAAAAGCCTGAAGTGCCCCTCTCGACAGGCCCGTGGTGCCCCTGGGCTCTGACAGGCCCAAGTTACCCCTGCGAGGTCGGTGGTGCTCCTGGCAGGCCTCTGGTGCCCCTGGCAGGTCTGTGGTGCCCCTGGCAGGCCTGTGGTGCCCCTGGCAGGCCTGTGTTGACTGGTGCCCCTGCTAGGCCGCTGGTGCCCCTCACAGGCCTGCGGTGCCCCTGGAAGGACTGTGGTGCCCCTGCCCCTAGGGGTGCTCATGGGCCCAACAGGCCCGTTGTGCCCCTTCCTGTCGTATATACTTGCTAGACCTGTGGTGCCCCTGCTTCCTGGCGGGCCTGTGGCGCCCCTACAAGGCCGTAGGTGCCCCTGACAGGTTTGTGGTGTCCCTGGAAGGACTTTGGTGCCCCTGACTAGCCTGAAGTGTCAAGGACAGACCCTTTAGACGCCAGGGTCAAGTTCGTCGGACTGACAACGATTTGCTTACCTGATAACGTTCCTGGTAAGTACTCACTACTCAGCGTCCACAACATATATACCCGTAACATATACACATAGCACATTCATATATACTTGCTTACAATTGGTTTAATCTGGTTGTGGCTAAGAGTTAAGATACTGATTAAAAATAAAAAATAAAAATAAAAAAAAAACTGAAAATGGGGGCACCACCAAAATGAAGTGGACGAAATCCGTTGAGTTTTTAATTTTGGGTATAGGTAGGGGCACCACTTCGATTCATGACCCTCCCCTTGGAGTTTTCCTGGATCCGCCCCTGTTAAGAAAGATGGATAGGTAGGTACCTACATCAACAGAAAACATAAACAACGAACCAGAATAGAAGCACTAGCAGTGTAGACATCTAATGCCAAATCCTGAAGCATGGTTGTGGGACAGAACAACAGACCCTGATGCTTTTCATTATCAATGTTAGGTGTGGAAAATGAAACTGAAGTTGATGGACTGTCAAAAAGTGATTGTCTAGTCAACCCTCTTGCTTCTTTCTTACCTTGCATATTTTCTGGGGTGTGATATGCCAGGCTTGAAGCAGCCTTCTGAGCAAGTCTCAAACTATTTTGATATGCAAGGCATCAAAACACTAGTGAGCATCCAAGAAAGAAAAACATTCATCTATTTTGATTTTTCCAAATAATGATCTTCGCTCAAATCCCCAAGGACGTGCAAGCCACATTTGCCTCTTTCAATCAAAAATTTTACTTGAGTTTTAATGACGTCAATAGCAAAGAAGTGGCAATAAATTGTTTTGTGTCACCATTAACAGCCATGAAAACTATAAATAATGGATAATAAAGCTCTACAGTTTAAAAATTGCTCTCAAACAAAGATTAGGTATCAAATTTTAACATTTTCAGAAGAAGACGTCATTTTATTAGTAAAGTCAACAGTTCGCGTAAGAAATGTTGTGTTCAGGGTTTTCACCGTCATGTGAATTACGTGTTCAGGGTTTTCACCATCATGTGAATTAACCGTAAGTAAGGTTCATGCTCACTTATAATCTAATTCCATTGGCTTCGTTGATCAGCATTTTCTGTTAGCGGTCACTCACACACTAGTTAGAACATAAAGCGCCAGTTTTATATTATGTAATTGGACTTGCCGAAAATCCAGAAATACATCTAAAAGTGTTATTTTAGATAATATTTTAGGAAGCCTTTACCTGCCTTTACCTAGGCGTGATTTCTTTTTCTATTACCTGAAAGAATTATTGAACGCTCGTCTTCAATATAGCTGTAAGGTGCTCTCCTAACTAATGACCAGGTGAGATTGATTTGAGAGGGATGTGACAATGCAACATGTTGCTTTTTCTGAAACTGTCAAGCTCTTGATGATGAAGGAACAATTGGTACCTATAATCAGTATTCTGTACCAGAGTGCAAACTCCCCTACAGCAAATGGTAAAACCATTACAGGTTTTCAAAGGCTTCACCACTTTCAATGTTGCTGGGCATCCTTTGCATGATTTTTACAGGCTAGACTGCTTATCAGAATGTAAGATTAAGGATTTAAAATTTCATATTTGAGTACTTAAGATTGAGCTTGAAATCTCACAGCCGTGGCCACAGCCGTAGCCGTGTTCTTGGAGATATTTGCAGCCGCCCCGGCCCACAGCCGTTGGGCTGCAGCCAGCCGCGGCTGCAGCCGGCCGGTGCAGACCTCTACTTTGGGGCCTATGATTACCCCTAGGGCCGATTTTCATTAAAATCTGAGAGATGAGGGTGACGGGCCTGGTACGATCTATCGTGGAATGCCCCAGTTGGCGTATAACACACGGCTCACGCTATGACATATGATATGACGTTTGCCGGTCCCGTAGCTCAGTTGGTAGAGCGTTGGACTTCGCGTGGTGAGAGCACACATTCCCGTTTACAACAGTCCGGGTTCGAAGCGCAACGGGCGCTTGACGTTTATGGGCCTCCTGACGGGTATGATTGCGGTTGGTGGCAGGCCGTAGCCAGGCGAAGTCATTGAAGGGACCGGCCGTGCGCGGCTATGTGCGCACGTTAAACTTTGGACTCTAAATTCTGCCATAGAATCGGAATTGCGCGATCGGAGGGTAGAGGGTAGGGTCATCGCAACAAGCTTCGCCTAGCGGGGGCTCTGTCCTTGTGATTCCTTCAAATCAAAGGTTCGGACTAAATTTATAAAGAAAAAAAAACGTTAGAAAGTACAATGCGAGACTTGTGCAGGCTTCCCTTCTAGCCGATCCGCAAAGGTATATCAACTATGAGCGCAACTGGCCCAGCCGTTCTCGAGATAAGAAACTGAAAAAAACTGAAATATCTACAACACAATCGGCCCCTGACAATGTGTTACATTTAAAAATGTTACCAGCTCTGCAGCCATTTTAAAGATGTAGAATCAATCCAATCACGCACGCACGTGCAGTTTAGCACCCTAACCGGGATGCACGGGACTGCATCACTCGGCTCATGTTTCGCTACTGGCCAAGTTTCAGCGCCATTCGTCCGTTCGATGCGGAGCTATTGTAAACTGAACAATTTTGGCACTCCTGACACGGCACGTGGCACTTGCTGTGTTGGTTATTCATATGTATCAAAAATAGTTGATTCTAGGGATGATGAATCTGCCTGAATACAGAGAACTGCCTGTTGATCGGCAGATCGATTGTTGATATATTAGGCTGAAAAATCGTCACGGGACCGGGGTAGACCAGGCCAAGCAGAATCGAGGTCTCGTCAATTTATTTTTATTAAAAAGTTATATACATTACCCTCATAGCACAGCCTTATGGCTGGAGGGCGGCATCGAAAAAATAACTTTCGAAAAGAAACACCAACGCAACCAAATGACGATGTTCTTTGTAGAAAATGCGACTTGCAATCGCGTAGATTGTTTCACTGAACGCTGTTCGGATGTACCGAACACATAAAACACTGATTATAAAACTTGTTTCATAGTACAGTGCGTTAGAAATTAGAATCCTTTTAATATCCGGTGACCTTCGCCCTGCCGTGGAGCCGCTCCTTCTGACGGTGCCCTCCCTCGCTCCCTCTACGGAGGCCGTGGAGCAGCCCCTTCTGACGGTGCCATCCGTCCCTCCACAGAGGCCGTGGAGCCGCCCCTTCTGACGGTGCCCTCTGAGCCGATGGTCGGTTATATCGGCGAGACGACCATAATCACTGTGGGACTGGAGGGACCGATCACATCTCTGACCTGGTGAGTGTCCTGGACCGAGCACCTCGCTGACCTGCTGAGTGTCCTGGACCGACCACCTCGCTGACCTGGTGAGTGTCCTGGTCGGTGGCCTGGCGAGTGTCCTGGTCTGGCGCGCTGATGAGTATCCAGGACCCATCACTTCGCTGCCATCTCAATCTGGTGAGAGTTCTGGTCTGGGACCTGGTGAGTGTCGGTCATTCGGTCTTCCCTGGCTCGCTGAAGCGGCCGTTGACAGGCTCGGCAGAGTGGTTGGACAGAGAACTCCAATTTGTTTCCACCGCCATGGACACGAGCCTGCAGCGGGGGCCTAGTCCGGAGCAGTGTCGCTCCATCCTTGCTGTCTGCGGCGGCGGGCGACAGCCACAGGCTCAGGGAAATATGCATCTATGTACATGTAATGCATGGAGATCTCACCTACCCCTGGGCGCCGTCGGCGTTTCACACCGTCCTCTCCATCCGTCCTATACATGTACAAATGCAAAATAGTAAGTAAGATTTCCAACACATCTGAAATCATCAATCCTGTAAGCAATCTCGCATCATTTTTCATCTTTCGCCATGGCCCTGCGAAGCACGAAAACATGTAATTTAGTCCCGTAAAAGTTCCGCCGATACTAAACACGACTTCCCTCCTGAAGTTCCTGGCGCAGCGTCTCTCTCCCCTCTCGATTCCTCCGGTCTCCGTCCGCGTCCGTTTTTACCTGCTGTTTCTACGAGTCCCAGATGGCCATTCCACGGGCCATTCCACTGAACATGGCGGCCGCGGGTCCGGCCGAGACCTTCCATGTCGGCGACCGCCGCGGCCCAGCGGGCGCCGGCCTCTATTTTTACACGGCGCGACCGGCGAGAGACGGAGCACCTTCCGTCGGCGGGCCGGGCGCCGCCAGTTCCGGCGCGGCGGCGACGAGCGTGGCGCGGCCCGGCGAGACGCGGCCAGACGCGCCGTAAGGTGGGCTGTGTGGGCGCGCCGTCCGGTGAGAACTGTGAGCGCCCCGTCCGGTGAGAACTGTGAGCGCCCCGTCCGGTGAGAGGTGTGAGCGCCCCGTCCGGTGAGAACTGTGAGCCGCTGAGATGCGGTGACGGTGCGACAGGCGGCGGCCATGAGCAAGCTGTGCCAGAGCTGCTGCGGCGGCCGCCGGCGACGCTCCAGGTCAGTCGGACGCCGAGCGTGATGGAACCGGGACGAATACATGGCGTGACGTTTGACCTGCTGCTTACCCAGCATTACCCGGCAAGGGCTAAGCTGCTGCACCCTTCGCTGACCCTTTCCGTGACGTGGTAAAACATAGCGAACTATTTCTTTGTCATTTTTATTGATCTTTTTTTCTAATGCACCAGTTTCGCGCTTTTTGGTTATTAGCAGATCCTTGGTGAGACGATATGCACATTTCAGCGTGGGTGGTCATGGAATGTATTCATGGTTCCCATTACTGAGAAATGGTTTGATATTTCTGGCTCCGGGAGCAGCCACATTCAATCAGCTTATGAGACGCGGGCGACTTGGTGCCAAATGTATTTTCAAAGCTTGGATTCGGTGGCGGTCGCTGCGATGCGCGTGTTGAAATATGGGTCAGCTCTCGACGAGCAGTAAAATAAACAGTCCCTGGGGATTTCGGCCGGCGCCACTGGGGGTGCAGAGCCTGCGCCGCTGGGGGGTGGAGAGGCCGCTGAACGTCAGTGCTGCGGTCCCCAGGGGGCGAGACAGGACAGATTAGACTGCACCTCCCGCGGACTGGGCAGACTACATCACATGGGGACAGGGCAGACTGCATCACATGGGCACAGGGCAGACTGCATCACATTGGGACTGGACAGACTGCTTTACGCGGAGGCAAGCCCCGGAGACGAGACATCCACCTCAGCAATCACGATTAACTCTTGGTCAGTCACTTGCATAACTGAAAAATTGGCCCAGCTACGGGTCAATTATTCAGCAAGTACCTAGGTATGATCTAGCAACGGGGTATGACCCAGCGTCTTCAAGGGATACCATATTTCCAGAAGGTTACATTTTCGCACAGCCGATTGCAGTTCACATAGGCAACAACACTGCTGCATGTTCTCTGCCGAGCCCACCGTGTTGTGAGGACCCCCAAGAATCAGGGACGCAGCCAGGATTTCCTCCAGGAGGGGGCCAAACTTACAGGGGCCCAAGGTAAACCCCCTCAGAATCCAAAAAGTCATCGGATTTCATCCACTATTTTTTTGGAGGGGGCCCAAATAAATTAAAAAAATGAAAAAATGTTAGAGCTGAACGGCAAGCAGTCCATGGGTCCCTGCTAGATAGGCCCACGAATAGCTTCATAGAGTCGCTCAGCCGGTTCTGAAGGCGGTCTTGAGGGCCCCGTAGGTCGGATGAGGGTCCTTCAGAACGCCAAAGGCCCCTACAGCCCATGAGAGCCTCGTAAGCCCTGATAACTTGACGAGGGCACACTAAGAAACAGAAAACCCCTCTGAATACACGACAGGGCCCCCTGAGCGCAAGGAGGGCCCCTGATCGCTTCACGGGGCCCTCTAAGCCACAAAAAGGCTCTGAGTACACGACAGAGCCCTCTAAGTGCATGAAGAGGCCCCTGAGCGCGCGTGACGGGTCCTCTGATCTACAGGAAAACTCTTTGAGCATGTTAAGGACCCCAAGGGGCCCTGAACGCCTGACAGGGCCAGGCGCGTAGCCAGGATTTTCCTCAGGGGGGGGGGGGGGGCAACCAGACCGAAAGGGGCCCATGTGTGCGAAGGGACCCAACATTTTCTTAATTTCATGACGTAGTTATTTGCTAAACTACCTTAAAATTACGAAGGGCCCCTGCGAACCCAATGGAGAGGGCCCAGAGGGGCCCAGTAGCAAAGTCTCAGGCCCGAAGGGCCCTTTCTTAACCAATGAGGAGAGCCCAGAGGGCCCTAGCGGCAAGGTCTCAGGCCCGAAAGGCCCCCGCGAACCCAGTGGAGTGCCCCGAGGGGCCCTTACGCTACTTTTATTGTGCCCCTTACCGTACTTATGACACCATGTTGGGGCCCTTTTGGGCTCCAGGGGCGGGGGGCATGGCCCCTATGGCCCCCATTGGCTACGCCCCTGCCAAGAATGGAGGAGTGTGTGAATTGTGAATCTAACTCTAGAGTTGATTTGTAAACTGGCCCTGTCGTTCAAGCCTGTCGTTCAAGCCAGTGTTTGTGACAAAAGCGTCCTGTTGATTCAAAGGCGAGAGAGCAAGGATGCAGAGGAAGAGCAGAGATACTGAGAGAGAAAGAGCAGAGATACTGAGAGAGAAAGAGCAGAGATACTGAGAGAGAAAGAGCAGAGATACTGAGAGAGAAAGAGCAGAGATACTGAGAGAGAAAGAGCAGAGATACTGAGAGAGAGAGAGAGAGAGAGAGAGAGAGAGAGAGAGAGAGAGAGAGAGAGAGAGAGAGAGAGAGAGAGAGAGAGAGAGAGAGAGAGAGAGAGAGAGAGAGAGAGAGAGAGAGAGAGAGAGAGAGAGAGAGAGAGAGAGAGAGAGAGAGAGAGAGAGAGAGAGAGAGAGAGAGAGAGAGAGAGAGAGAGAGAGAGAGAGAGAGAGAGAGAGAGAGAGAGGAGAGAGAGAGAGAGAGAGAGAGAGAGAGAGAGAGAGAGAGAGAGAGAGAGAGAGAGAGAGAGAGAGAGAGAGAGAGAGGAGAGAGAGAGAGAGAGAGAGAGAGAGAGAGAGAGAGAGAGAGAGAGAGAGAGAGAGAGAGAGAGAGAGAGAGAGAGAGAGAGAGAGAGAGAGAGAGAGAGAGAGAGAGAGAGAGAGAGAGAGAGAGAGAGAGAGAGAGAGAGAGAGAGAGAGAGAGAGAGAGAGAGAGAGAGAGAGAGAGAGAGAGAGAGAGAGAGAGAGAGAGAGAGAGAGAGAGAGAGAGAGAGAGAGAGAGAGAGAGAGAGGAGAGAGAGAGAGAGAGAGAGAGAGAGAGAGAGAGAGAGAGAGAGAGAGAGAGAGAGAGAGAGAGAGAGAGAGAGAGAGAGAGAGAGAGAGAGAGAGAGAGAGAGAGAGAGAGAGAGAGAGAGAGAGAGAGAGAGAGAGAGAGAGAGAGAGAGAGAGAGAGAGAGAGAGAGAGAGAGAGAGAGAGAGAGAGAGAGAGAGAGAGAGAGAGAGAGAGAGAGAGAGAGAGAGAGAGAGAGAGAGAGAGAGAGAGAGAGAGAGAGAGAGAGAGAGAGAGAGAGAGAGAGAGAGAGAGAGAGAGAGAGAGAGAGAGAGAGAGAGAGAGAGAGAGAGAGAGAGAGAGAGAGAGAGAGAGAGAGAGAGAGAGAGAGAGAGAGAGAGAGAGAGAGAGAGGAGAGAGAGAGAGAGAGAGAGAGAGAGAGAGAGAGAGAGAGAGAGAGAGAGAGAGAGAGAGAGAGAGAGAGAGAGAGAGAGAGAGAGAGAGAGAGAGAGAGAGAGAGAGAGAGGAGAGAGAGAGAGAGAGAGAGAGAGAGAGAGAGAGAGAGAGAGAGAGAGAGAGAGAGAGAGAGGAGAGAGAGAGAGAGAGAGAGAGAGAGAGAGAGAGAGAGAGAGAGAGAGAGAGAGAGAGAGAGAGAGAGAGCAAAAGGCTACTGGGAACGAAGAGCACACAACACGCCGGTCGGTCAATTGATGCGCGACGAGACAGCGTTTCAGTCCACCTGCCTCACATGAACTATAAATGCAGTACTTCCTGTTCTAGGTGCTTGCCACCGATGCATTTCATTGACTTCCCTGTCGAATTGATGACAGAAGTTCCCCGAAAATATTTCAACGGTCCGCCTGCGAGTAAGATCAGCTCACTTGCCGGCTACCGACACCACCAAGCGACGGTAGGTAATGTATCACATAACACAGTCTATGTTTGATATAAAAAGACTTCTCGGTCTGTGAAAGATGTGTCGCAGCGCCTTCAAAACCTTAGTTTTATGGACGGTGTGATTTTCAGAAACCCCTCTTCCCCTTCACACTCGCTAGCGAACGGTCTTGTCTTCCTTATAACCTTCATCTCGCATCCCTCTGAAGCAGTGTTCGCCATGGGCCGGGCCAGCC